TGTCCTCACTGGCATCTTTTGACCTCTTTATCTTGCTAAGTCCCACCTACAGATTTTATTTTTTTATTTATTTACTGCACTATTCCTCCAGTCTCTTGGGTGGTTTTAACCTCTCTTTTTGTCTTACCACCCTTTGCCTAAACACAGGCACTCTGAAAAAATACTTGTTTGCCTGATCAAAATTTGCCAAGCCTCAGTTAGGGGATCCTTGTAAGAATAGAAATTGTTAAGGTATATCTTGATTTATTAGCATCTATTAAACCCACAAAATGCCTTGTATCATCCGAGGTTTCCCTCATGTTAGCCAACATTCTTTGTTCTAGTAGAAAGTGAAGTTGGTAATTCAGGGATGGAAAGTTTGATCCCATTTTCTGCCAGTGCAGTGGGATTGGTGGTGGGCATTCTCTGCTGTAGAAAACACAGAGAGCAGACATTTGCCTTCCAATTTTCCCTTACAATATCTGGTGAGGGCAGCAAACATTCCTCTTGGGTCAATAAGTTTACTCACTGTGGAAAATAATGAACTGCACCAGCCCAGAAATGGCAAAAGTGTGCAGAAGTTAATCCTGGCAGGAGCACAGGAGTTCCTTAGATGTCAGCCTTGTGCTGAGCACAATCACAGCCAGAGGTTTCAGAGATCAACACACACATTATTTGATTCCAAGAAAAGCTAAAAAGTTGGGGATATTGTCATAAATACAGGTGACTAGACAAGACACCAAGTGAGGGTATCTTGAAAGACATATAGAAAAGGCTAATTGTATTGAGCACTCAGAAGTTGGAACTTAAATCCAGATAATACAGATCCAATTCTGGATTGTAAATAGAAAATAATTCCATAGGCATATGTCCAACCTTACACAAAGCTTGGTGTTTGCTTATCCATTTTACCCCTGAAGGGACGTGGAAACCAGCATGGGGATGTAGAAATTCTGGCATTTCTGTTTGGTTTCTGTTTTAATGTGTGCAACATGCTTGAAATGTTAATTTTGGCTTCTATTTCTAGGACAATTTTTCCACCCCATTGACTTCACCATCCTAGAAATTCATCCTGGCTCTGATCCCAAGAAACCGGATGCCACAATGGTTGTTAAAAACAACGAGCTGATAGTAACGAGGTACAAAAGAATGAAGTCCTTAGCAAAGACTTAGGCAGGATTGCCTTGTCCATGTGCACTTCCTACCTTGGTGCTGCCATGGCTGTGTTTGCCTTGCAGGGGCTGGCAGAAGGATTACGGGAGAGATCCCAAGCACGGCGCTGACATTCCTTGCTGGTTTGTCCATGACAACGGAGCTGGGCTCATAGACGGGGCTCACACAGACTATGTCGTTCCCAGTCTGTTTTAAGCGGCTTCAACTTCCTCCAAATCCGTGGGTAGGCAGAATATTTGTCTGAAAGAACAGGATTTTTCAGTGTTTAAGAACTATTAAAAATCTGTAAGCATATCATGTTTGGCAAGGACGAGGTGAGATGGATTCTCATTCAATTTTGCTGTGCATTTGACCGACTCTGAAGTGCAGGGCAGCTGTTCCACCTCTGTGCACAGATATCCCTCATCCTCTGAAACCTCCTCTTTATTAGGCTCAAAATTCTGACTTAAAATGTTACTTTGTAAAACGTACCAGAAACCTTCTATCCGTGTTAAATCAACACCGGAGTGATTGCAATAAAAGCCTCCCTGAGCGCTCGGTGCAGGTCCTGTTACTCCAGCAGCCATGGATGTTCTCATTCCGGGTTCCCAAGGGCTCCAGCTGCGTTTCTCGATTGAGCACAAGAGGGCAGCTGACAGCCCAGCCCACATTTTGGGATAATTCCCCGGCCCTTGGAACCTCCCGACCACTCGAGTGCACGGTGCTGAGGGCTGGTGCCAGCACACGAGATGACTGTTGGCATCCAGGACTGCTGTGTTTTAGTAGTTTAATTTGAACCTAACTTTTGAATGCCCAAATCTTTATAAATTCATGAAACACCACAGTTGCAAGCAGCACTCACGTTTAAGTAATAACAGCTCTTTTGGACTGTATCTTTTTTGTGTAAAACCTCTCCCTCTGTTGCCATGACAGAATTTATAAACATATTCATAAGGGCAAGAAGTGTCCCATTTATTTATATACTCATTTTGTACTGCAAGCGATTGTAAGGTATTACTTCTAAAGGAAAAAAAAAAAAAAGGCTATTTCTTATTTACTTCAAGATTTCTTTTAATCAAATCAACCACACCAAGGTAAGTGTGGTCTCACATGGCAAAGCAGAAAATTTCCCCTATTGCTGTATGACAAGGAGAGAATGTCACTATGTGGAAAACTAGAATGCAGACACACCTGAGGGAAGAGGAGTGTAGTGGGAAAACAGAGATGACATGAGATGAGATGGGTTAAATTGAAAGAACAAAGGTAGAGGTGAACAAAAATTCAACAGAAGAATCAAAGAGGAAAAAAATAGATGAAAAATGTACTTACTGTTAGATTTATGGGAGATACAGGCCTTTTCCAGGAGCAAAATCTTTACTGAAAGCAAAAGTTTTATAGATGAAAAAAATTGGGAAGGGGAGAGGATGTCACAGTGGTCACATATCTCTGCCTGCTAAATTCAGACCAAAATGATGAAAGAAAACAATAGTTTGGACAGATAGTTGCAAAGTACTGAAAAGTGGGGAAGGCAGGGAGGATAACAGAAAGGAGGCAGAGACCAGAGCACTGGAATTAGTAAGGTTAAGTTTCCATGGTTCTAAACTTTAATTCTAAGGTAATTAATTAGATGGAATCAGGGCTGGTCCTGTACTCACCCCATTAACAGAATAAACCAGAGTAGGGCACAGCAGACCCTGACCTGCCTGGCTGGCAGAGTTTGGGCACAGGCAGTGCTGGGCTCTGAGCGTTCTGGTTTGATTAGTGGGGCTGAGGCAAAGCCCTGGAGGTGGCAGGAGCCTCAGCTGTGATGGAACTGGGAGCCAGGAGTTGACCTCAGGGGCTCTAGTCTGCTTCTGCATGGCTCCTGTTCAATAGGCACTCCAAGATTCCTGCAGGGTAGGAGATAACAGCAAATGGAGCTACAGGTCACACAGAGGACAGAGAGAAATAGCAGAGAGATGCTTTCAGTCAAATAAAACATTTACTCCTACTGCCAACAGGGACAATGCTGGTTGAAAGAGAAGTGTGAGAGGTATCTACTGTGACATGTGGATATATCTGTTAGTCTGCATTGGAATTAGACATTCCAATTAGAAATTTCCAATTAGAAATGCAAAATACTCATTATTGTGTCTGACTTCAGCTCCTTGAGCAAGGGAAGGGAATGTAGAAAATCAGAAGCCCATCAGAGCTCACTCTGGGCCTCAGAAAGGGCAGCAGGGGAGTGATTAAACATCAATTTAAAACACAATTCAAGTGAAGAAGAGTGGAACGGCACATACTTCTGGAATGGACGGCATACCTGGAGGGGGAAACAGCACTTTCAGGAATCTGGGAGCAGCAGTAGCCAGGCAGGGCAGCGACACCTGTGCTGCTGCAGGAGGCACAGACATCCCTGCGGGAACAGCCGCCAGCGCCTCTTGGACACACGGGAGGCGCCTGGCGCATCCAGACAAATCGGATCCAGCCCAGGAGACAGGGACAGCTCCGCAGGCAAGTCGTGGAAAGAGGGGGAAAAGATCCCAACTATGCAAAAAGCTGTGATGAGGAAAGCTGGCAGCTGATTTCCTCCCATCCGTCCGGGCTAGCAGGGTGTGCCGCTTGGCAGCCGAGGAGAACTGGCTGGGGACCGCCAGCACCGCGGGGCTGGGGCCGCTCTCGGGAATGCTCAGCACACGCTCCGGCCTCACCCGAGCAGGAGTGCCCGGGGAGAGCTGGCCCAGCCATGCCCCGCTGCTCCCCTCAGGGCTGCTCCTATCCCCGCACTTGGCAGGCAGGGCTGGAGAGGACACACCCAGGATGCACAGCACGAGATTCGAATCCCAAATTCAGTCACAATGCAAACAATCTTCTGCCTTTCAGATTGGGTAAGCCTGGTTCTGATGCAAGTGAGCAACCTGGCGTTTCCAGTTTCCAAATTCCCCATTGTTTGTCGTGTAATTTGTCCAGCAAAATTGGCACCTGCAAGTCTACATTTTAAAAAATAAGTCCAAGGAATCCAGATAAACATATCTTGGCATCATGCCTACACAGTTCTTCTATAAAAACAGCTTCTAATTACATAGCTTGTTTATTGACTTTGGCAAGAAATTGCTTCTCCTTTAGTACTTTGCTCTAAAATAATAAGGTTTTTCCAGTTCTATATTGTTGGCAGGATAGAAAGCAACTTCTGTTCAACTGTCTACAATGCTGGCATATTTATGGGTTCAAAGATACATAGGAACAAAAATTCCAAAACACAAAATAATTTTGGAATTAAAAGCTGTGAACCAGCTGAAGACTGAAAGCACAACTTGGATTCCCTGGGCAGAAGCTTCTGTGTGTGTGTTTACTCTGAAACGTTACCTCCATGCGTGGCAAATCAGGGTTGAGTCGTTCATTATTTGTGAAACATCTTCCAATGTTTGCAAAATGTTGTGTGAAATGGTGCCAAAAAGCTTTGGGGCTGAGATGCTGTCTTTTGCAACCAGGCAGAAGTCTCTTTTGCAGCCACTGAAGGGCTGTTTTGCAGGTGTTTTTAGAAGGGAACCTCAGAGACTTTGCAGCAGCGAACAGGACCACAGCCAGGGCAGGTTTGTGGTCCCATTTACTGCTGATTTCATCACATTTGAGCTGTCTCACAGAGTGACCTCCAAGAGCACCTTAATGCAGCAATAAAATAAACAATGAGAGAGGTGATAAACAAATACTGCCTTAAACTTCATACTCTATCCACAAACCACGTGGTTCAATAACACTGTCGCTTATACCTGCACAGAGGGTGTGCATTTCAGAAATCTGTCATTGTTTGCTTGAACTCATTTGTGGGCTTGGGTGATGCCACCACAGATTTTTACTTGGAAACCGAAGTCCACGTGTCCATACCAAACTGTGAGCTGATAATGTTGATTTTATTTAGTTCATTCACATAAATCTTCAACAACAATGGATTAGAAACCATTTTCAAACAGCAAACAAGCAGGCACAGTCTCATCTTGAAAGTGTAATGATTCCAAGGTGAAATATTTGTGACATATATTTTACTATAGTTATGTATTTAGTAACAATAAGGCTTTAACTGAATGGTTTTCTTGATGAAAGTATCAAAAATACATTGGAAGAGCATCATTTGCATAGTTTTCTTTCCCAGAAAATTTTTTTTTCTAGGGAGTTAGATCTGTTGACCAGCAGGAAACAGGCCCATGGGCTGACTCAAGCCTGTAATCTTTCTTGTACATCCTGAAACAAAACCCAAAACAAGAAAAACTGTGATAACACGCTCAAAGGGCAGGCCCAGAATTGCCCTGACATGTGCAGATGGCACCAGGAGTCAGAGCTGCACCTCAGCACTCCCAGGATATGATTATTTCCCCCCATGAAATAGGAGCCTTGAGCCCTGTAGCACCACTTAACAAGCGACAAATTCAGGTTGTAAAGGAAAAATTCAAGTGCAAGTTATTTACACCAAAGAGGTGTGTTCTTACAGACACACACCCCCCAGTTTCATTTCTTTGATCTCCTGTATTTGCTGATAAAATCCATCTCAAAGCACACACATCCCCCACATCTGTTACCTGGAAACTCTGTGCTCAGATCCAGACACAGTAAGGAGTCTTTCATCAGCTCTCTGATTGATGTTGGAGTTATCCTTAAATTGTGCTTTTGAATAAAATTGACCTAAGCAACAGACACACAAATTGTTTAAAAATACAACAGTGCTGGTCATTTAACCCAAATGGCAGCTCCAACTCCAGGAAAGCAGCTCTTCATCTCAGAAAACAAACAAATGAAAGCTCCCTTAATAAGTTAAGAAAATCCCTGTGTTTCAGCTGTGGTCTCCTGTCATCCCTAACACTCTCCACAGGGAGGCTCAGCCTTGCTCTGATGGCTTTTCACAATTAGTTTTTTTTTTTGTATGGTTTTGGGAGACGCAGCCTCTTAATTTTCAAAGGTTCTGAAACAACTTCAGCTTTAGTCCCAGCAGGATTTTTGGAGCCAAGACGTTCAGGACCGGCTGGTTTTCATTTTCTAACCGTGATTGGTTACAATTTTACATCTGTTATTTGTGCTCCGTTATTTACCAACAAATGACTTTGCTACATAAATGACATCACTCCACAGCACCAGGGAGGTTAAGCCCAACTATTATTTAAGCCTTATTTTAGGGTTGTGCCACTGGTGAGTGGAAAAGCATTGTGTTATGTTTGCATGGTCAGACCTCCCCTCTTCACAGAGCAGGGTCTGCACTGCTGGCCAGTAAAAGTTACATGTCCAAAAAGAATACATTAAATGCAAAGTTTCTCCAGAACTCCCTGAAACACCCACCCACACCCCCATATTCTCATTTCAGGAGCTTAGTTACAAGACCATCCTTCATTGCCACACACATCTGTAACGACACATACCCAGGGCTCCACTGACTTTGTCAGAAAAATAGTCGGTGTCCAAGAAATAGAGCCCAAGGAAATCATCTGGAAACTTGACAAGGGAGATTTTCACTGTGACCGTGTCAGGCAGTGATGCTGTGAAACTTCTTTCCTTTTCAACCGAGACTCTAAGACTGGGGAGTAAATTGTGACATTATTTCAAATAAGGATATGAAGAAAGAATATGTGTTTAACTAACTGACATTAATTAATCAAAATAATTTAATTTTTGCCTTTTGCCTCTTTGCAATTGCATTTTTCCTGATCTGTGGGTGGCTATTTTTAAGCTAGAAAACATTGAGTAGCATATCTTTTCTTTCTGTGCTGCACAACAGGTCTTGCAAATGCACCAGAAGAGAAGAACTTTTTGCTGATGAATCCACCTTATTATCCATAATGACATGAAACACTTCGATGGGGGGAAAAAAAGAATATTTTCTCACCATTTTAACGAGAAAAAAAGGTAGACTAGATAAAATAATTCAGGCTAATTAATGAACAAATCAAATACTTTTTGCTTGGCTATTTCACAAGGTTTTTCAGCCCCTTTCTTCTGACCCTTTAATGTCATTGTGACCCCAGGTGGGCTTGCAGGACACAACTATCACTGGCATTTGGGGCCCCACTGCTGGTGCTCACAGCGCTGCGGGTGCAGGGGCTCGGCTGCTGGTTTGAAGCAGGAGGATCACTCTGATTGGCAGGCAAATTCTACAGGGCCTAAATCCAGCATGTTCTTGGCTCTGTTTGGACTACAGAAATAACTGAAAGCGCTTGTTGTAGGGCTTGTTATTGTCTAGCACTGCCTGTGAGGGAGCAGCACTGTGTGCCCTGTCTGCCCCAGGCCAGCAGTGGATTCTTGGGGGTGTTTATTCCAGCAATATAAAAAAGCTGGTGGAATCAGCTCCACTCAGCTCTCCCTTGTGGTAGCAAAGGATCCTGCTCTAATTAGTCTGACAAATAAAGTCTACTTTTAAAGTGCCCCTTCTCCAACAGCGGGCATTTAGGTACAGACAGCTATTCCAACACTTTATGCCTTCCCATAAAAAATGTCGGCCGCCCAGATGGGAGTTATTGCTAAGACTGAGGAGAAAGAGAACTCCAGCCTGTGTGGAGCCAAGTGCTGTATAAAAGGGACAGTAAATGTCAAAGCCATCACTTCACAGTACTTGCTCTGCTGCTGGAGGGACACGAAGTACCTCGTGGTGGCACCAGGGCTGCCACACATTGCTGGGGGTGCTTCCTTTAGAAGAAAATACATGTTCTGCCTCTGATATCAAAGCAGAAAAGCAGGCTGGTGGGGCAGTTGTTTCAATTCTCTTCACACAGGCATGGAGAATGAAAATCAAACCTATTCTGTTCTCCATTTTGAAGTGGGGGATTATGAAGGTACCCTGCTGCTGCTCACAAAATACTGGATAAGAACACTTGGAAGCACTTACTTTAGGTAAATGGCAAAGTGGAGGCCTGAATGAACAAAGATGTGACACATTTTCAAGTTTAGGAAAGGACAGGGGGATGTTTCTTACCCCTGGATGGTGGAGGTGGCTGACTCTGTCCATGGCAGCAGAGTGTTCTTGTTATTGTGGTTCACAATGATCCCATTAGTGGAGACGTGGATTTGCACGGGGGGATTCACATATTTAATTTCAAACTGCACAAACTGATTTGTTCCATCTCCAAGTTTTCCCATCACAGTGAGTCCTTTAATACCATTGATACAGATTTTTCAGGTGACTGTGCTTTTAAGGTGCAAGTGATCTTAGTGAAACTGCTGCAGTTTTGTTGCTGAAACTACTTCAGGGTCTCAAATCTGGTTTAGTGAGCCACAGTTCCCACGGATTTCATGCTCCAAGACTGGTGGGATCACCAGAGCCTGTTTAACCCTGTGTTGCCACCTCCTGTATGGAGGTGTCTCTGTTCCATGATCAGAACAGGAGCCTGGGGCCATGGCTCCTCTGAGTACAGGACACAGAAAAACTGCCCTGCACCCAGAGCACTTTCTGTCACCACCCAGGGACCGTGAGGTTTAAGGTCTCTACACCCTCTAAAGACCCCAAGGACTGGGCAGGAGAAATCTCTGAAGACCATGGATGTGACACCAGGAGGAGGTGACCCACAACCAGACCTATGAGAAGTGCCCTCAACTGTTGCAACATCAATGTTGCCTAATAGAAAGGCAAAAATTAACCACAGCCTCTCTGGCCAGTGCAGGGCAGCTGGAATGATGTGGCCCTTCGTGAAAGGGGGTTATTCCCAAAGGCACCATCTGCTCTCACAGACCGAGTGACTCTCCTTGTCCTTGGTGTTGGGGGTAACCTGGTTCACTCACCTTGCTCTGGATCTGACAGCAGGTGGACAGAGGGTTGTGCTGTTCCATCAATATTTAAACAGATTGTTTCACTTAGTTTGGGTAATTGCAGAAGAAATTGTGGATGTTCATGGACTGCAAAGACAGGAGAAGAGTGTCAGCATACAACAACAAATCTAGTCTGTGCCCTTTGGATAGGCACAGCAAAAATACTTAATAAATTTATACCTAAGATATTAGTTATGGCTTTTAGAATAGATTATTATAACCACACCCAGACACAGCACCTTGATATGAATGAAACCAGCAGATTTTTAAATGTAAGAGTTTATTCAGGACAAGGAGCCCTTAAAAAAGCTGAGGCTGAAGATGTGTTGTGGAGCATTTCTCTTGGTGGTTATATCCTCGAGACAGAGAGGCTTTCTCATGGGATATGGGGAGATTTTCTGCTTAAGTGGAAAGAACCAGCCAAGGTTTGCAAGAAGAGGAAAAGGGTTTTCATAGAGTTGATGCAGTTAGAAGAACATTGCTGTATGAAAAGTGTACATTACAGTTATATTAATAATTGCAATTGGACTAGGATATGTATCACTTACCAACAGGTTGTGCTCTCACTCTGTCTTTTAGCCTGGTAACTGAAATACTTAAAATTAGTAAGAAGAGTTCAATGAAACATTTTTCTCTAAGTCAGCTAATTAACCAGGAAGAATGCTGTGACAGAACTTTTTTAGCAGAGCTCTGCACTAATTTCTACAGAAAGCTTTGCTTAAAACGAGATATTCCAATAGGGGGGAAAAAGCCCAATGTCCAGTGCCTGTTTCTCTTAGGATGGGCCGGGCCACGGGGAGTGCTCAGCCGGGGCTGTGGGAGGGTTTCGAGCTGTGCCGAACCCAGCACGGCCTCCCCAGCACCTCCCCCGCACCGCCGGCAGCGATTACCTCCTGAAAACAGCTTCCAGTTGCTGCCAGCTTGGGGCTCACCCCATCGACCTGAAATAAAAGGGTTTTCCAATGTTCTAGTGGTTTGGGGGTCATGTCTTGCATCTCCCTCCTCACGCTTTGAAACAGGGAATCCCTCCTGCTCATTGCCCACTGGTATTTTTGGATACCCCCAGGACTGGTAAATGGCACCCATTTCCTTCAGCTTATTAATATATACTTTCCCAGATCATTCACATTTATTTTCAGGAGGTACAGTAATTTTTTTTAATTCTGAAAAAGGATCAAGATTGTTTTCAGAAGTTTACAGTTCATTATAAAATATCTGTGGACTGAAATACATCCAGTAAAAAGTAAATTGAAATCAAGTGGGCATTCCCAATCAAAATGTATTCATTAAAGCAGCGTAGCTATGACCCTACATATGAAATGAACTTTATAGAATTTTTCCAAATAAAAACAGAGGAGCACTTACTAGGAGCTGATCCAGTCCTCATTCTAGAGGCAGCTGGAAAAAGAGAAGAGGGTATCTGTGATTTGTTCACGAGTGTCTCACACACCTCACAGGAGTGTTCCAAACATCCAATCTGTAGCTTTCTCTTCCTTTCCCCCAGTGCCCTCGAGCAGCTGGGCCTGCCTGACCATTCACACCAACACAGGGCTTGGCAGCAGCTACACAAACAGGTCCTGCTGCAGAGGTGCCCCAAAGTGTCCTCTTGCAGCCCAAGGGAGCTGTGAGGGAAGGGCACCCCGAGCTCTGTGTGCCCCCTGAGCAGGGCAGGGCGGTCACCGGGCTGTGCTCCTGCTCAGGGACTGCTCTGCTGTCAAACTCCCAGCACCACTTGGAAAGAGGCAACCCCCAGAGAGCAGGGCAGCACTGTGCTGCCCTCAATGCACTTCTGTGAAATGGAGAGCAAAACTAAGGCTATTCACCTATAAAACTAATGTTCAAACAAATACTGCCTCCTGAAAGAGAAGGGAGAAAAAAAATACCTAAATCGTCCTCAGAAGGCATTCCAAAAAATCTGGAGGTGGATTTTTTGAGAGATGCTTCACACATGGTGGAAAGAAGCAGAAAGCATCATTAACACCGTTCACTTGAAGAACTACTTTTCATCAAGAACAAAGACAATTTTGACCTTTGAGACTTTCTGAAGGGAATACTTTCTCCTTTTGACCCTGTCATCCACCCAAACCCTGCCAGAGACTGTGGCAGGCTTTGCTTATGTTTTGCTTCACACATTTTTCCAGATCTCAGATACTTCCCTGTGTAGAACAAATACTTGTTTGTTTTTTCTTTAGAGACTATTATGGAAATATGCTATTGGAAAAGAAGAAAACACTCACCTCCTACTAGACGATTGTTGGGCTTCTCATTATCTAAGAGAAGGAAGAGGCAGAGATCAGTGTCATACAATCAACCCTAAATGACTTTATCCAAGTGCAAAACAGCAAACTGGGACAAGGCAGTGATGGGCTTTATGTGCTGAGCTTTTTTGTGTTCAAGGATGGGGAGAGAGAGCACCTGCAAGACTCCTGGAGGGGCCAGGCTTTCCCCCCACATTCACTTTTCAGCTACAGAGAAAAACATGGAACCCCTTTGCATTGGCAGGAATGTCATAACAACAACTACCAAATTACCTTTGGTTAATATTTAAACCAATTATTTTCCATTTCAGCAGTAGGGCCTGTTCCACCACTCCACCTTTCCAAAGAAACCCCGTATGTTTTATTTTGCAAGGGAGCCAATCCCTGAACTCCTGCCTCTGATGTGCCTCATTGCTGGGTCACATCACTGTCAAACGAACCCAAATGGAGGCCAACAACAAATCAAGAACAGCAGGCTGTTTCAGAGGGGGTGGTTGATGCCGCATTTACCAGCTTCAGTGGGTTTGTTTGCCAGCTCTCCCTGCTGCTGGTCAGCGGGTTTGGTGACCACCATGGAAGTGAGGGGTGTCACAAAGCTGTACTGCAGGGACAGCTCCAGGGCTTGTGCCTCCAGGGCCTTCTGGTCCTCTTCTGGGGCTGAAATACTAAAGACTGTGTTAATGATGAAGAAATGACACGTAGAGACCATAAACAAGTCATCCTCAGATTCCTTTACCTATTGGCCTTGTCTTAGCAGATGCTTTTTATTATTGAAGGGTCAGCAGTCTGATTGGGATAACTCAGCTGTTCACATGCTTGAAATTATGGAGGTGCTTAATTCTTTGCAACACTGGAGCTTATGTGTCATTCAGATTCATAAAAATAATAGATCCATGATCCATGAAATGTCTTATGGACATACATATTGTTCTTTCCATTAGCTATTGCCATTTCCTTATCTACAGACAGCACTTCTGGATGTGGAACAACAGCTCAACACAATCCATACAATTACAATCTATTTCATTGTAATGTCATTAAGAATATTTTACATTATGTTTATATATATATATGTATAAATACACATTTAACGATCCAGTGCTATCATAAACTGAAAGGCACCTCATACTCATCATACAGTAATGCCCTATTCTCCATTATCCCATGTTTTTGATACTATCTGGAGAAATATTGCTGTTTCTTTGTGTTTGCTGATCATACACCTTGCGAATAAGGAATTCCTGTTGTAAGAAGTTAGAAATTTGTCATATGAAAGATTAAAAGAGCTTACGCTTTTTCCAGGAGCTGTTGAATGGTTAGGTAAGCCCACAGTCTCTCTATGAAATTCCCAAAGATGTATCTTTGATCTTGGAATATTTGCTCCTTCTCTTTGACATTTGCTTCTTCCTTAAGAGTCAAGTCACTGGTGTGCTGAGGGGGAGAAAACTGACCATCAAAAGAACAGTTCAGGCTTTGCTTGTAGTCACATTATTAGACTTAAAGGAGCATCTTTCTGTACCACAGTGCCCTTCTTGTCCTTCAATTTTTTTCCTTTCTCATTGGAAAATACAACTCCAAACTACCAAGGAAGCATGTTTAAAAAAGGGGGTAATGAAATTGCTCTGCCTCAACATTTTGGAGATGAACAATAGAGATTTCCCACTTCACTGCAACAGCACAAACCTAAAAATGCTCAAAAGCCCAAAACCTTCTGGATTCGGAAGGATTAAAATTGCTGTTTGCTCATTTATGAATATTCTTCAAGTTTTTCTTTTGTAGCACGTTCAGGAAGGGGATTTTGTTTGAATTGTCACATAAAATGGGAAGACAGCTGGATACCCAAACATAGAGAACATGGACTGCACACAAAACACTGCTGGGAGTCTCCTACTGGGCCACAGTAGACAGAAGGGAGAGGCATTTTTCACGATTAGTAAACTAAACACTTACAGACTGAGCTTTAATTTCTACTGGCAAGAGATCCAACTCATTCCTAATTTTTCCAGACACTACAATTTCAGATCCTTCAAAAAACAGCGTGAAATTGTTCCTGGTTAATCCCTCAATGGCATTTTCTGGATACTGCAGCTCAATTTTCATTAATATTGGTGTAGCCACCTCTTGATAAAAGCCCTAAAGGGAGGCAGAGAGAGAGAGAACACACACAGATGACTGCAAAATAATGCAAAGCGATATGTGAATGTCTAAAACCCCTTTAAAAAGCTTTTTCTTCAGTAGTGCAGGACTACTGTAAAGTTAGAATAAAAAAGAATGTTTCTTCCCAAAGTTCTGCCAGGCTGGCCATGCACTACAAACTGTATTTCCCGTGGGAATTCAAGTACCCAGGAAGCTTCCTCATTATCACCATCGCACCCTAGTTGGGTATTTCGCTTTAGCCCCTTTTCACACCTGATTCTTGAAGTATGATGAGATTAATCTTTCTCTTTCTGGCATTAAACAAACCCAGCCTCTGCACAGCCACTCAAAACAGGTAGAACTGGCTTCCCAAAAGAAAAGAGAATGTCCCAAAACCTATAATCCCAGTCCAGAAGGACAGGGAAGACCCAGACTGGTGGAACTGCACAGTTTGCCTGTAGATGTCTCAAACTACCAGCTGAATTTTAGGGAAACCATAACAAGCAGCTTCTAGGACTGGTACTTCCACCATCACTTCCCCTGCACTATTTGTCCTTTTGCAGAAGTACAGGAACAGGAGAGTCTCCTGGTTTGTCTGAAAGCAGCTGACTCGAGGAGAACTTCTGCTTTGAGTTATGGTTAGGCTACAAACCCTCAGATCAGAGTAGCCTTCCTCCCTCCCAGAGTGCATGGGTAAGATAAACCCAACATTTCATCCCAGAAAATCTATGATTTTGCTGCAAGGACTAGACATAAGCTGTAGCTGATAGATGGTTTTTCGGACATACTCCTGACCTGGAGCTGCAAGGCTGCATCAGCATTTTCATATATACGCCGTGCTATTCCCCCATTGCTTAGGGCCATTTTCTCCAGGAATTTATAACTGACATCAAACCCAAAGCCAAGGCAGAAAAGAGCATATTTCCCATTGATTGCTTTCTGAACGTTTTCTTGAATCTCTTCCACATTTGTCTCACCTGTAATCGAAATAAAAAACATATCCTTGTTGGTTTGGGTTTTTTCAAGTACCAAAAGACAGCAGCAGGTTTAATGGGAAATTCTGCCTGAAGGTTTTAAAAATAATTCAGAATAAACCAGTAGAAAGTCATGGGCAGGAGGGCTCTGCCATCACACTCTTTACACCCCTTGGCCCTCTCATAATGCCCCTCTCCAGATCCAACTGTAGCTAAGCCTGAGTATTCCAAAGCTCTTCTGAAACACAGGCTAAGTCTATCAACACCTGGGATGTAAAAAGTGTAAAAAAAATTAAAAAACGCAGTGGAGAGAGGCCTGAGGGCAGTATTCACTCACCAGAAGTGGGCTGGCCATCTGTCAGCAGGATAACCATGGAGACGCTGCGCTCTGGCAGGTCCTTGGCTTTGTCCAGAGCACCCACGGCACTCAGCAGGGCACCATTGATGTCTGTGCCTGCAAAGAGAAAAGCAGGAGTCACTCACCTGAGCTGGATAATCACCTGGAGAAACTGGTGCACTTCATCTGCAGAGCTGTTTAGAGCTTTCTGCAGGAAGCAAAATCTTTCTGAGAGCTGAGGATTTAGGGACTGGGCCTACCGGGCTTAATTACGGTGTTTTATATTGCTGCAGCAGTGCCAAGGTGTTCTTTTGGGAGCATTTTCCACACATATGTCATGGGAAATATAAACATGTCCAGAGCCATTAAAAAGTGCTTAAATAAACACTGTCATCTCTTAACCTACATTTGAGAAAAGTTTCCCTGCCTTATTTGAGAAGTCAGAGAGCAGAGCTGGGCACGGGTGGGTTTATTGGTGTTACTGCCCAGGGTAAGAAAAGCAGTGTTAATACCAACAGTGCAACAGTACAGGATGTACCCCCAGAGATGTGCTGAAAACTAAACAGCAACACCAGCCACACTGACTGATGCAACACTTGAAATGCCACGTGCCTGTTTTGCCTGTTTTGTTTTTGTGGTGGGGCTTATAGGGGAGTATAACTATAGATGTGGGGTTTTTTTGTTTTGTTTTTGTTTACAAGGGGACCCCAAATATTAAAAAAATCAGCAAACTACTGTCAAATGTTGAGTAAATTGCCATTTCTCTGTACAAAAAAATGTAGTATCAGGCAATCTTACAGTTACCTCTGTGATCAAAATTTGAAATAAAACTCTGTGGCTTGTGTGGCTCATAGATGTGATGCAATCACCTCTTTATATACATATATATATAATATTATAATCACTAGTTCATCCACTCTCAGCCTTTCTCTCCCACTCATCACTTGTAAATATTAAAAACAGTCTGACTTGCTTCGTAAGCACTGATTTTAGCTCAGGGGCACTATATAACTAATAAACCCAATTATTTTCTCAGCAATTCATTATGTTGGGTGCAGATCTGTGGTTCCAGGCAGGTGTACCTCCCCTGGCAGACAGAGTCTGCACGAAAGCAGCAGCACTGGCCACGTTCTCCTGGGTGGCTGGCAGCAGAGAGCTCTTCCACTCCACCACTCTGTTGCTGAAGGTGATAAAGCCAAAATGATCCTCAGGGCGGAGGTCTCGCAAAATCTTCAACAGGGCATCCCTCGTCTGTTCCAAAGAGAAAACCATCGCTTTGGTTATTCCTACTTCTCTGCCAGAACTGGGATTGGAACTGTTCTCTACAGTTATTCCAGATGCAGCTCATTGCCTTTATTAAACCCTAGTTGTATTTTTTAGGATGAGACCATTAGAAAAGGCCAGTTCACTTACAGACATAGAAAAATCATCTATGAGGGCTGTAGGGGGCTTGTCTGCCCTCTAACAGAGCTGCATACACAGTCATCAGTAAAGGTAAAACAGAATTCTTTAACTTCACTGAATAAAAAATTAGAAGCAAAATGTTCTGCAGAGATGGAGACAGAAGGCACTCTCTGCCCTAATGTTTGGTACCCACGAGAGGAGCTGTGTCAGACGAGTGCTGCTCCTTAACAGCTTCAATCTGTGCCTGTGTGTTTTCAGGCACTTCTGTAAGTCTGAACATTTTGCTGTGCACAAACCAGCGTGTGTTTCCAAAGAGAAATTCCCAGTCAGTTCCTTGGAAGGCTGGGTGTGTGCCCCTGGTGCAAGCAGAGGGCATGCTTTGAGGGAAGTTACCTGTTCGATTTTCCTGCCTGCCATGGAGCCGCTTCGGTCTATAACAAAGATGACATTTTTGGGAAACACTGGCATTTCACTGGGTGCAAAGTAGTGCACAAAATACCCATTGACAATCTGAAATACAGAATGTGAAATCACCTGTGAAATTACATCTGAAGAAATAAATATTGCATCTTAAAGATTCTGGCACAGCAAGAAGAGGGGAGGGGGAGGATCACGCTCAGCGTTCTGCTCTTCTCGATAAGCTCAAATCAAAGAACTTCAATTAAAGAAATTAAAATGTATTTCCTAGCTGGAAGCAAGACTGTCTGTAGAGAGCAAATTACAAGAGAGCAGCATACATACATAGGTGTAGATATATATTAGACACCTCAGTGCCACGTGTAGGATATATCCATATTATCACTGTATATCACCTTAGCTCTTTATCATGCTTATGAGCACATCTCTGCTCAGTGACTGTGGCTTCCATCTTTCAGCACATCCCTGCATCCTACAGTATTTAAATGGTATGGAAAACACTGTCCTTTATTCCCTAGAATATGCATCGGTCCATAAATGTTTGTTAAGTTCCTGCTGTCTTTAGTTATGCCTCAGTTATCACAAAAAACACAAGGAAACCAAGCATTTATAGTTATATAAATCACGTTCCTCTAAACTTCATTTACAAGAAGCCACAAATGCACCTTAGATCAGCCAAAACAATAATAAAAAAAGAACGTAGAGAGACATTTTGGTATTGAAACAAAATTTGAAAGATTGTTTTTCTTGGGTGACCCATTCTTGCAACGAGTCCGGTGTCTCCAGGGATTTACTGAATATCTCTCAGCTCCCGCTGACCCTGGATTAATGGAAGGTGATTTTCCTGTCATTCTTGGTGCTTCAAAGCAAATGTTACTGTTTTGATGTCCGCATTTCACATTCAGACCTATCTGTAATCTGAAAGCATTTTTATTCCTATTTCTTTTTTTACCTGTATATCACCCGCCGTGGCTTCTCTCTTAACGTCATAACGCACAACAAAGTCACCGTTGAGGAGAGTGTCATCGAGTTCAGGGTTTGCCCTCTGCTGATCTACAGTTGGCTTAAACGAAATATGAGCCTGCAAAGCAATGAGAAGAAAAGCTTCAAAGCAATGTTACTGAGAGCTGGCAACGCCCGGCAGCTGCTGCTGTACCTTGGTTTCGTTCTGCACTTTGGTGAGTGCCTCAGTTAACTCGTTTGTCATGAAGGTGCTGTCTGTCTCCAGCAAGCGAATGCCCTGGGGCTCGAAGATGTGCACGTCGATCTGGCGGTGGAGGAGCAGCATCAGCACCTCAGAGGGAACACAGCCATGCCCCAGACCCACAGCACTGCTCCCTGCCCAGCCCTCGCCAGGGCAAGCTCACCTGGAAGTGCTTCACCAGCTGCTTGGGCCGCACTTTGATGAGCAGCTCGAACTTGCCCAGCTGGCGCTTCAGCAGCTCCTCGTACGTCAGCTCGAAGGTGACTTTGCTGGCGGCCGCGATGCTGACGGACACGTGGAACAGCTCCAGTTTTCTGTCTCTGATCCTGGGGGTGGAGAACAGGGATTTGCCTCCTGCAGGGAAGGTTTCCCCGTGGTGGCCGGAGTTTGTGAAGTGTGCGAAATAATGGCCAAGGGGCCACAGGGGATGAATAAAAAAGAGTTACAGTAAATCCTGTTCATCATAGAGAAGATTTGTTTACATTGCAGTCACTATTTAGATGTCACATATATTATGTTAATGTGCCATGGATGCAAGCTGAGAAATGGAGTAGAAACCCCTGCATGCCTCAGACTGGGATCAGGCAGAGCTGGGTCTGAATACCTGGGAGGCACAGATTAAATATACCCTGAAACTGTGATATCTGCTCAAGTGCCATGGTCCTCCGGGGTTGTAGGGAAGCAGATTCAACTACACTGAACATCATCCCTGCATGGGAAGGTGCTCTTGCATGACAGGCAGCCAGGTTGGATGGAGAAACCTGGTCTAGTGAAAGGTGTCCCTGCCCATGGCAGGAGTTGGAACAAGCTGGTCTCTAAGGTCCCTTCCAACACAAATCATTCTATGACAGCAAATTCCATGGAAATGCTAAACGGTGACACTTCCCACTGGAGCCCGCTGTAGGACCAGATATAAATATATTTATGTGGATATATGTCTGTATGTGAAAATATATATATACACACTGTCCCACCCACCAAGAACCCACGACTGATTTTCACATTTGCCCCACTGGGAGGTGACTGGCTCCAGGGTTCAACCTGCCCCCAGCCAAACAAGGAGCCAAGGAAGAGCGCTGGAGCAGCCTTACACGGAATGGCAACGTACTTGACGAGGCCGGCGCTCTGCCCGCGTGAGACTGCGGTGTCATATTCCTTCTGAGCAGCAGCTTTCTCCTTTATCACCCCTGGGTATACTTTACCATCGATGGACCTGTTTGGTGTCCATAAAAATTTAATTAATATCAGAAAGAATGTGCTGGGGAAAGAAACTCAACAGAAGTTTCTTTGTGGTCAACCCTCAGGACAAGTGCAGGGGATGCTGTTTGGGTCCCACACCCCTCCCCACCCAGGAGGATGTCAGGAGCCACCCCCACAGTGCAACCCTTCTCCAGCCCCCAGAGCTGCCTCCTTCACACCACAGGGAAGGACTGGCCTACATGGAGAAGTTGGTGATGAAGGCTGTCTTGGGTAACTCCACTTCAAAGGTGGCCTCTCGGGACTCATTGGCTCTGTTGACAATCCTGCTGGTGATGACGGTGTGAGCGAATCGTGAGGTGACCTTGCAGTCCACGTGGAGGCTGTAGATTTCAATAGCAGGCTGGAAAAAAGTAAACAGGGTGAAACAGAAACACCCTGTTCTTGCTCCTAAGCAGTCCTTACCTGAGTGATGTTGTCGGGACAGTTTGATGAAAGATTGAACTGTTAGAAAGTCTGGCTGGAACTGAGGAGAGGACTGTTCATGACCAGTCTGGCCATGTCTTTATTCACATCTCTGCAGCCCATGCAAAATCTCCAGCTACATCTGTGCACTGCTGTCCCACACAAGGTTCTGTCTTTTTGTGTGGCCTTCTCTCCTCAGGGTACAGCAAAGCAGCTACTGCATCACCCCAGTACATAACCCAAGATTAAGCTCAGGAAGATCTGAAGCCTCTTTAAGCATTTGGTGCATGGGACAGGCCCTGCTTTTTGAATGACTATTAATTCACTCTCTCAGCTGTTGACTTTGCTGTCTGTTTTCCAGCTGGGTACCTTATGCCCTATACAACACTCAGCAGGTTTGACACCCCACATGGGCCTCCAACCCCTCACTGCTTGCACAAGCAGAGACGCCCTTTAATAGCAACCAGTGACCTCTTGTCAGTTATGGCACTGGCCAAAATTCCAAACTTTACCCAGGCTAAACATGGCCATTGCACACAAAGCTGGGACCACAGCCGTGGGCTCAGGCATTGAGGCAGGAGGTGCCACAGCCAGCCCTGGGTGAGTGATGGATGGCAGCTCCAGTTTTCACTACATGTGGCCAGGGTGTGCTCCATCTCCTGATGCCTACTGACCATCCAGGACAATGGAATAACCCCCAAAATATTAATATAGAGAACAACATCCTGATCCCAGCAGTTCAGGTACCTGCACCAGGCCAGGCACCCAGAGATGATACAAACACAGTTTGCTCCTCCAGACACTGCAAGTAGCTGTCTACTCTCCTATTTTCTGTTCCATATAAATTATTAAACACCTGTCAGAAAAATTCTGGCACCGAAACAGTCCTTGTTCTCTCCTGTGTCAAGCTCCAAACTTCATCTGGTGGCCAAGGCAGAGCCACTGATCACTCAAATTTGATATCTTACATCCCTGAGAAAGAGCATGACCAGACACATCTGCAAACACCTCCTGCCACATTTGTGCTGTAACAGCCCAAACAACCAACCAGAAAGGTCATAAAAGAACCCAAAGCTCTGAAATCCCACCAGAGTCCACCCAAGGCTCCCCAGGTGGTGGTTACCAGAGGAGTTACCTGGCCAGCTACTGTGATACCACCGGATCAGCGAATGAGATATTGACAATAAAAATAGAGCAAATACCTTCTGAGCCTCTGCTAATACTATGAGTGAGGAAAAGACCAGCAATGCAAGCAATGTTCTCTGCTCCATTTTGGAAAAAACAAATTTTCAAATGAAATCTCTGTTTATCTTAATCAGTTAATGAGTAACTTGTACTCGGGAATATCATGTAGACTTTGAAGAAACTTTATATTTACCTGTTAAACATAGGTAAAACTCAGACTTGGTTAATGCTTATTTTTCCAACAGATCTTTGCTGTTAAACATTATAATTTTAACATTTCATAACACAAAGTTAAGAAATCTTTGTGTTTCCTTTGTCTCACTGTGTCCTGTGAAATCCCACAGGCAGATGAACTGGTCTGTGCAACAAAATGCAGAAATCTCCACCATATTCCACAGCAATAATTTGCAAGAGCACAGCCTTAACATTATCTCAAGCAGCACTTCAGAGGTTTGGAGATTGCCAGGAGATGCAACATGCAAACCAGATTTTACAGCTGATGGCTTCTTCAACCTCTGTGCCTCCCTGCCCAGCTGGCCCATGAGAGGTACAGAGCAGCACTCGTCAAACATCCCTTCTGGCTGCCTTTGACATAGCCATGATCTCTGGTAGGTGATGTCATTCATGGTCCTAAAGTAACACAAAAATCCTGTGTTTGCTTCGTGGCTGTTTAACAAAGTGTCCAGATGGAGAGCCAGCTTCCTGTGGCCTTGGATTTGTGAGGAGACACTAATGCAGGGCTCGATAATTTATCACTCACCAAGTTCACTACAAAGAATGTGCCGAGCACACCCTGGTCTTAAAAGGCTTGTGCTTTAAGTAACTCTTTTAAAAAATAAACTTCATTTCTCCCAGGCAGGCTGTTTATACTACTGGCAAATACTGTATTCTTTATAACAGGACATGTAAATATGTATATTTTAAGAGAGAAAAAATTAAACTGCTATACTTTTGATTAACTTGTACTACTTGTGTAATGCTTTAATCCCTTAAAATACACAGGATTATACACTTAAGTGGCCTAAGAGGTGCAAGGGCCAAAGCTTTAGCTTTAATTAAGCAGATCTGTCATTAGTTTTCTAATGCCCACAGGTAAAATCACATGGATTTTAAAGAGCTGCTTTCACTGCGCAGTTTTAGGCTGCATGGTCAGCTCTGCCCCCCTCCTGGGTGCCTGGGGCAGGCCAGCACCTGGCAATCCTGTGAAATCCCTTCCACATCCCTCTGGGGCCTGCTGAAGCAGCTGCAGGAAGATCCTCAGGCTCAGCCCTGTCCCTGAGTGGAGCACCAAGCCCTGTTTCAGTACAAGCCCTGCCCCAGCCATCCCTGCTGGTCCAGTTCCGCTGCTGCTGGGACACTGGGCACCAGTCCTGCAGCCCCCACTGCTTCTCACTCTGAGGAGTGAACATGCTGTGAAACGACTCCAGGTCATCCTGGAGGAAGGATCTGAACTCACCATCACAACAGGAGATAATTTTGAGTGCAAAATTACCTAAAAACTCAGACCCTGGGGCTTTGTTCAGACATTTCTCTATCCATTTTCCTGTGATGTTCCATGTCCATTGTCACTTTTCCCATGATTGGACTGATTAGATTTGCAAGGACGGAGAAAAAACTGACAAAAAAATTCTGCAGGCAGCTTTCTATTTGTCCCTTTCACCTACAAGTATCTCCTGTCCTGCAGCAGCAACCAGTAACTTTTCCAGCACAGCAGCGAGCCTGGAGATGGGGGAGGATTCCTGTGATACATACAGGAGAGCACAGACCTTGCTGTCCCAAACAGGGAGTGACTTTGTCTCAGGAATATGGTTTTACCTCCAGTGTGTATTTTTTAGATGAAGTCCATCTTAAAAGACAGAATAACTAAAGAAGATCCCCAGTCCTGGGAATTTCCTGTCACACTGGGAAGCATCAGAAGTCACTGAACCTGACGACACTGTGGAAATAAAACTGATAGCTAAATCCCAAGTTTCTGGCAGGTGACTTATTTTGCTTCTCTGTTACATTTGTGCTGCAAGTCCATGGGACACAGAGGTTTCTGTGTTTTGCTAAATTGGCAGCAACATTCCTGAAACAGAGTCTGAAATACAGCACCTCCCTCTCCTGCTGCCCCACCTGCAAGTCTGCAATAGTCAGTCCCTTCTATCACACAGAAGAAAGTAACATTTTGCCCCACTTGTCCCTCTCCATCATTTTTATAACTATTGAACAACCTCCTGCCAACTTCTCATTGCAGAGTAATTAGGAGGGTTTGTTAAAGCCCTTGCAGGGGCAGCTCCAGCGTTATCAGGGTGACAACTCTTTTCCACCATGACTTTTTCCATGCTCTGGAAGGAATTTTCTCAGGGGAAAAGGCTGTGCCAAGGTACCTGTGAGGAGCCTGGGCTCCATGGAGAAATCCTGCCCAGCAAAGTAAGGAGGGGTCTGGGTTGCAAATGATAATTGAAAGTGAAGAAAACAGGGTCAGGCAATGCACCAGCAATATCCTTAAGGAAGCTTTCCCTTTAAAGCCAAAGGATTTTGCTGCTGCCTCATGCGAGCTCTGCTGGGCAGCCTCTCTGGGAGCTGTGTGGACATTGTCACGTTTTATCTGTCAAGTGTTTGGGAAACACAAGGCAAATATAATCTTTTTCATGGTGCACAGAGACCTTTGACATCACTTTTACCTCTTTATCACGTCTAGCCTTCGTAAAATTAAAGCAATCCCCTAAATAAACATGTCACCTACCTTACTGTCCCCAGATGGGCTGCAGGGACTCAAGGTGCGTGGAAAGAGTGGCAGGTGCCCACAAAGCAGAGGATGTCTGTGTTGGAGCACAAAGATCCAGCTGAGGGGGAACACTCCAGCTTTTGGGAAAAGCAGGTTTGATGTTTAAGGCAGCAAATAAAGAAGTAAAAAGCATTGCAAAAAACCCAGCTCCCCCTCAGAGGGGGCTGGCTGCCGTACAGGGACACTCGGTGGGGCAGAACATGGCAGCTGGGTTTGTCACCACATTTCTCACTCAGTCTCGTGGGACACGAGGGAAAAGCCACTGGGGAATGGGCTTAAATCCCTTCTTTGGTGCTGGTGCACTCTGAGGGGCCAGCATCTGCCCTCCCAGCAGAGCTGCATGAGGGGAAATCACGGCAGTGCTGCCCTGAGGGGCGTGAGGGGGGAGACGTGAGGGGAGATCCGTGAGGGGGGAGACGTGAGGGGAGATCCGTGAGGGGACAGCCAGAATTGACTGAGCCTAAACCGAAATGAGTCACCACAGTGTGCCGAGCTGTGTCCAACACCCTTTTTTTATTAAACCATTGTAGCAAACACCGTCCAACACATAGAAAGAAAGTACGTAATAAAAATGAACACGGAAGTTTTACCCTTCGACTTGAGCATAATCCCCCCTTAATGACTTACAGTGGAAAATAGCTGCTTGAATCTACAGTGACTCTAGTGTAAGGGACAGAAGTTTGGGAAAAGGTTACAACAATCATCTGGGTGAGACCCATCCAGGTCTGCTGTCAGCCAAAGACGCTCTTGGCCGGCTCATCCTTTGGTTTCTCAAAGACTGTTTCAGTCCCTGTCCGAGCCCGGCTGAACACGGAAGGTGCTGCGGAGCCCGCTTGTTCTTGGAAAAGAAAACCAGGAGAGACAATCAGTGAAGTAGCACCCAAATTTGGTGAGTAAAACTAGTGCTGCTGGAATACATATAGACACATTTGATAAATACTTCATCTGGCCATCAATCTCCCAAACCTTAAAACACAGTGTTCCCACCCTGAGCACAGGGCAGCTGACAGCACACCTGTGGGTCACTACTATTGACTGGCCCCAAATCCCTGCAGGTGCTTTAGAAATTTGGGAACTACTCAGGTCCAGGCTATTATGCTGAAAAAGGGTTAAAATTCACCATTTTTCCCTACACTGGTGGTGGAAAAGCAACACAAAGCCAGAGCACCAGAGGTGCTCAGTGCAAGTGGCCACTCTCTTCTATCTCCCTTCCTGCCCTTTATTCCTCCTAACTTCTGCTAAATCTCAAACACATCAAGTTCATCAATTGAGAGGCCAGAAATCCCCAAACCCATGGACCAAGCCTCTGATTCTCAATTTGGGCAGTCACTGACATTGATGATTGTCCCAGGCCTTGGTTTGGCTCTCCCTCCCACTTCATCCAGACAAGAACAACAAGGACCACGAAGCAGAGCCCAGCTGGCTCCTCTTGGTGCCATGTAGCTGATGGACCCCAAATCCCTGCCCAGATGGACCAGGTCATGAGCACACTGCAGGCTGCTGTTCCACTGGTGACCCTTTCACTTGTCTTTGTCTTACTTTGCTTAATCATTTCCATCCCAGAGACTTACCACACTGCCTCATCACTTGGTAGGTTTTGGATTTAATTTCCTGGTTTTTGGTAAGGTTTCCTCTGGCTCCTTTGAGGTCTTCTTCCTTCACTGGAGGACGCTTCTTTTTCACAGGGGCTGGCTAAGAAACAAACATATTGCTCAGACATCAGCATTTCAGGTTCGAAGCACAGGCAACAAAGCTGCCTCAACCCCAAGGCTCCAACACACAGAGGTGCTAACACAATATTCCACCAATTTCAATTCTGGGCCTACACACTCAGCTAGTCCAGACCTTTGCATAACCAAAATTTCACTGCTCTTCCCAAAATCTGTTCCCATTTTGTTCTTCTGAAACTGTGTTCTGATTGCACAGCCTTTGAAAGAGTAGTGGATTGTTTAATTTATAAAAAAAATAAATTTATTATTATATTTTTTCTGTCCAGCCCTGCTTGAGCATTCTGCAAGTACTGATTAATAATTCAAGAATCTGTCCAATATTTGGGAAAGAAAAAACACTTCATTACTAAATTGGGCTTGTGCCTCAGTCTACTCACTACTTGTCTGGGAAACTGGTCAGAGAGATTATGAAGCCCAACTTGATTTAGTTGGAATAAACACTTGACTGATCATAGTTATTGTCTTAAATTTAGAGAACAAAAGTATCCAAGCACTCAACAGGGCTGTCCACAAGCATGTACTGAACACATCTGAAACACTGGGCTCAGAACCCAAAGAAGGTGAAGGAAATCTAATCCAGAAACAGATGCATCATCAGGTGGTGCACTGCAACAGCCAAGTACTAATCTGTTTACAGTTTATCCTGCTAGAAGAAAATCGGGATAAGGCTGTTTCATATCAACCTATCCCTACCTTTAAATTAGCACTCCACAGTCAGACACAACTTCGCTCAGCAGCAGGCAGCACCACCAGCATTCCCCCTTCAGTTCACTATTTCATGGATTTCCAAGGTCCCACCCAGCAGCCCTTGTGGCAGGATGCAGGGACAGGGGATATGATTTAAAGGAACACAAAACCCACACACTCCAACTCAAACAGGTCTGCACACTGAACCATCAACTAAAACTTCTCTGACCATCGCTACATACACAGGGCTTACGAGATTGGGGTTCTGGCAGTGGTGGAGCCCGCTCAGGAATTTCCAGGCACTGCCTGTGAGGCTAAAAATGGTTGTGAAGCGAAACAAATCCCTCAAGGCCTACAAATGGCTGGAGCAGTGAGTACCAGGGAGCTTGCAGAGCCAGTGCATGCCTGCCTGGATCATGGTTGGGTGGGCTGGCTCCACTGGGGCCTTCAGCATGTTTTCTGCTGGCTGTAAATTCCCAGAAATGCTCAGAATAGCTCGCTGTCAATCCCATTTGCGTGTGGTGTGGGAAACAAAACACGCACGGGATCTCCAGGGAAAGCACTCCACCAGTAGCCAAGGCAAGTGAGGGGAAAGGGTGGCAGCAAACCCTCCAAAATCCACAACAGCTGATGGGCAGCTGGCAGGGTAACCAAATACCCCACAGCCAGGGTTTCACTTGTCCCTCTGTAATGTGATGGGAACAGTCCCTCACACCCATGGCACGGCCCACAGGCAACCAAAGCCCCTTGTTGTGTTAACAGAATTGGGAAACATGCAAAGACCCTTCACCCATCACTGGCAAGAGCCAGTAACTGTGAGGCTTCTTCCCACTGGGACAGGGATTCTTGGGGACAGTGCAGAAAGGCAGCACTTGAGATGTACCAAGACACAGCCAGGCCAAGCAGAGCTGTTGAATTTCACCCAGTTATTTTAAGATAAACCCTCCCATGCTCTGATCACAGGATTTTCCAGCAGGGCAGTTGCTGTGGATTAGCTGGCCCCCAGCTGAAGAGCAAAGCTGCTGCACAGAGGTTACGGTGAGCCCTGGCAGCAGCTGCCAGGGTCACAGCCCCACCACTGCTAATTGCTCCCAGAATTTGTGAGCAGGCTTTGCCAGGAGCCATTCCCAGCTGGCACAGGAGTGCAGCCTGTGCTTTATCTCCTCCTGTCACAAGTCAAAAAGTGCTGGTTTACAAGACACATGACTGGTTTTTAGGTCCCTTTTTAGTTTGGAATAAAGAAAATCAGCTGAACTGAGTTACTCCATGTACCCCAAGAACTGTCCTCCCCTACTCCCCGGGTCCCTACTCTCCACCCCACCCATCCTGTAAAACTCATGCTGGGGAGAGCTCTGCCAGGCACACACAGCTTGTGTTGCACATGTAACATTTATCTGAAAACCTCAGCATTTCTGAACTAATTTTGAGAGCACTTTGAAACCCTGCTTATTGGAGAGTGCAGTAAAGACAAACCATTAGCTACAAAATGAACATAATAAGTGTGTAATATAAAATTTCCAGTCTTGAATACTGTTATCCTAACAGTTATAATTTTCAGTCACATGGTTTTCCTGCATGTTAATACATTAAGCTTTACACACTTCAGCATAGCCACCTCCTTTCAAAACTACTGCCGGAATTTCAAATCATTGTCCGAGAATGCGTGTTGGAAAGGCAGAGATTCCCCCCTTCTGTGAAACATCCCAAACCAGAACAGGGGAAATGTTTCCTCCCTTCCTACAGAAATAAAAATATTTAAGGTGAACCATAAAATTTTAAAACTAAATCAGTTAACCACGTAGAGGGCAGCTGCTTTCCTTCTTCATCAAATAATCCCTCCTAACGCTGTACTTGTTAAAACTCCTTCAGTGTAATCACACAAGTCCCAGAAAAGCCAAACTCACAAGAGGAACTCGCTAACAAATTCTTCCAAGCAAAGCATCCAAAGCAGTGGCAGGTTTGCCAGGCCCCTGCTCGGAGGGCAGCCAGTGGCACAGCTCTGCCCGTACCTGTGACATAACTGCGGTGCTCCCTCAGCCCAAATCCCTCCGAGGTGCTTTCCCGGCTCTGATTAAATCCAGCCCGTGAGCTCTGCGAGCGCCTGTTGTTTTCCCGGACTTATATAGAGCATCCACCGTGAAGTCATGAGCTGGGTCATCTTCCCAAAGCAGAGCCCGGGATGATTCAGGTTGAGGGAGGCTGTTGTTGTTGCTGGCAGGTTTATTCCTGGCGATGACTCGGGCGGGCAGCACTCCGGGAGCGGCGCTGACGGGAGCAGACAGGAGCAGACAGCTGGGGCAGCGGCATGCGGGGAAGCCCAGTCCTATAGGAGTGGCTTCTCTGGGACCCCGCTGGGGCTCTATTTACAACTTTAAAAAGCAAAACTTTGTTATGGACACAAAACTGACTCCGAATCCTCTTGGGGAGGGAGGAGAAGATAAAAAAAGAGAGTATTTCTCTCCCAGCATAACAAAATCAGCATTCTCTAAAGATTATATAAACCCAGTGTCCAAAGCATAATGTTGTGCCTTGGACTGCTTTTGCACAGGATCTTCAGCAGAAGAGTATTTTGTGTGTTTTGGAGAGTTAATAAACTGGTTTTATTAACTAGTTTTAACTGGTTTTACCCTTACAGTTCTATTGCTCATCTTACACAACTGAGGGTAAAATCACTTTCTACTTCCAGCACTATTAGCAAGTGTAACCATTTCCCCCATCATCTGTACAGCTGACAGCTTACATAGACACAGATAATCTCGGTGTTCCCCACTGCACATGCTGACAGAAATAAAGCCCTTCCCAGAACTTTTAACATTTTTCTCTAAACAATTTTTTAATTAAATTAAAAAAACACATCTCTAAGCATGGTTCCTATTTTTCATTAGTGGGAGAGGATTGGGTGGGAACTCTTTCCTTTTTTTTTTCATCTTGCAAAAAAATCAGCTTTTATGACTGCACTCAACACAAAGAACCAGGACTCCAGCCAGGTGGGTTAATGTGAAAAGGCAGCCATGGCAGAGCTCCAAACATCTCCTCCTAGAGAGGTTGCTGATTGATTGCTGCAGTGGTAGGAACCTGCCCTGGCCTTTCTTTGAGCTCTGCCCATGTTTTGTTTAGGCTACAGAAAAAAAGAACGGGAGGTCAAATAAAATTGGTATTTTCCATTATGAGAACATGCCATCAAACACAGCTCTAGTGCTGCGTGATTGGGACTGTGGGATTTGTTGGCTGTGAATTAACACCCCCCCCCCAGGCCTCTGGGTGCCCGTTCTGCCTTTGAGCTGAACTCCTTCTAAGCCTGAGAGGTTTTCCTTTACTGGGGGAATTATCTGTGGGTGAAGAAGCAGTTTGGTTGTTATGTCCTCAGCCATTCCTTAGGTTGAATTTCTATATTAAACCCCTGGTTTAGTAAACCTGAGGAAGCATTTCTGCAGAACAGCAGCGCCTTTAGTAGACCATGAAAGCAAAAATAACTGACTTTAAAAAAAAACCAGATTTTTTGCTATTGTACAAAGCAACACTTCTTCTCTGCTATTTCTCCACAGCCCCACTATTACAATGCTATCTGTTATGACAGGAAAATAACATTCTGCACGTTATAAACCAAATATTTAGAATTCAAGCCACTGAACTATTTTTCCCTTCAGCTTTCAAAATTGCTTCAGTTAATTGGTACCACGTATTCCTCACCCGAATAGCAACAGAGTTGTGCTTTCATGGCAATTTAATCTATGCAAACAAAATCATTATACAAACAGAATTAAATCACTTCAACTTTGCCTGCCATTTAGGAGCTTACAGAGGTAGAGGGCATATCTGAAGTTTCTAGGACATCCCCACAGCCTGGACAGTTCTGTTCTCTTTGATTACACATTTCCTAAACCAACACTCAACAACAGCCACAATCACTTCCTTGCACAGATCACAGGTTATTTTTTTCTACAAAAAACCCAACCTAAACGTACAGTGACTTACATTTCAGAGTAGAAATACTGTTCCCATGGTTGAGGTCCTCAGATCTGTCAAATGGGACATGAATGACAATGATACAAGATAGGCTCATTTATTCAAGAGAGGATATTAAAAAGTTGACCCTCTTTAACCTTCCACTGCAACAGGAACTGTGGAAAACTCCTTTGCTGAGAAGTGGTTGCAGATAAAATATGGCAATGACAAGAGAGAGTTTGGTGAATATACACAGGTGCCACTGTGGTCTCCAGATCTCACACAAGATTCCTCCTCCAGAGAAGAGCTAACACCCCCCAGGGGGCTGACAGGCTTGGCAGAGTGAAGGTTATACTCTGAATTCCCTCTAAGGATGAACTGAATCGAGGATGCCTGGAAAGTAATGAAAGTAATGGGCAGATGTTATCCAGGAGTTCCAGAGGCAGGATTGGACTGATACTGTGCAGCTCCAGCCCTGAACAAACCTTCCTCAGGAAACAGATCCAAGAGGAGCCTGCAAGGATTCTAAACAAAATTTGCAACTTAATAGCGGTTCTTCCAGCTCAAATGGGACTTGCCATTAAGGTAAATGGATATACTGAAATTAAAATCAACATAACAGTGCACAAAATTAGATCTGAATTTAAACTCAAGGAGCAAACCCTGCTTCCCACAGGAGCACACTATAAACACTGAAACACGGGGACTGTGAAACACAGCAAGTATAAAACAAGTGTACAAATCTTTAATAGTCAAACTTTATTGTAAACCATTATACAATGTAATTACATCAGATACCCTTAAAAGTTTAAGGTAACACCACTGATTAAACAATATGGTCCAAACAGAGGGCAGCAGAATACAGCTGTTGGTTTTGCTCACATTGGCTATACTCTGAATTTACCTACAAACCAACCCCACATTCAGTTTGAGACGGATACCCACGCAAGACAAAAACACCTACAAAAGAGTCCCTTTTTTAAAGATACTGCAGTTTTACTTTGTAAAACCATAGTACTCATTTTCAGTAATTGAACTGGAAACTTCCCCTAAAAAAAGTTTGCACGCCTATGCTGTAGATGGAACTCTGACTGGATGAGGCTGAATTCATTCGCTTTCACTACTGGTTTGTCCCGTAAAAAGCACAGCAAAGTTGCAAACACGGGTTAGTCAAGCACAGTGGCAGAGATTCCTTGTGATGCTCAGCTCTGAGCAGAGCGGGAGAGCCCAGGCCTCCCTCCCCAGGCACGGCAGGAATCGCCTGCCCGAGGGGATCACTTTGCATTGCTCTAATTTGCAACTCAGAAACTGAGTTTTCCCTGAAGAAAAGCTAGAGTACATTTTAGTTAGCAACATTAACAGACAGCATTCACCTACTTAAAGTAAGACAAGGGGACCTGAACGTATTAAAGCCAGAACTTGAAAACCACGTATTAGACAACACCAGGGTTTTAAGTTTATGCAGATGTCACAGGTCAGATACTAGAAACAGTTAATACATTTAGGTTGACCATTTGTAGTAAATTCCATCTCCACCAATACCTGTGTCTCTTCTCTCAGTTATAATCCCTTTCTCTTACTTTGGCATAGACTACATAGCTTATTTTCACTAAACAGAATCACGTTTCCTAAGCACAGCCTGAATTAAACCTTTGCTCCGAGTTGTCCTGAGTACATTTACAAGCAGAAGTCTGAGTGCCGACTTTAGGATAATGCAAATGTTGAGATGTTCCAATATCATTACTGGATCAACTCTTCATGAAAAGTCTATTTCAGACTGTCCTGCCAGCCCATCTCAACGAGCAGTAAGACACAGTGAAGCACTAGGCACATGTTCCCTTCTCACACTTGCAAGCCCGTCAGACAAGAGCAACTGTCCTACTTGTACCTACGGCAAGAATTCCAATATTTACCTTACAAAGAGGAAAACCACCAATTTTACGTTTTCCATCTCTTTCCCATGACAGCAAAGAATGAACAGGAGAAGACCTCAGATTTTGTTATTTAGCTAAAGTTGTGAATAACATTTTTGTCTGAGTAGAAAGAGTCAGGGACGGCTTTTCCCCTTCGAAGGTTGCTCCTCCTGTTACTAATGTGGTGTTCAAAATATTTCTGTCTCTTTTGCTCCTAGTACTTTACTATATCATCTTGCTAGGCATACCAGATATCTCACATCAAGTGACATTTAAGCACTTAAGACATGAAAAATTAGGCTTTCAGAACCTTTGCTACAACTGCCTTCAAGAAACTGCTCCATTGCGCTTTCCACTGGTTTGTACCTGGTCAGTAAGCTTGAGGTCTGCTCAAAACAAATATTTTCACATGATTAAGGCCATAATCTTATACTGACAATTCACAGACTAAACATGAGACTAGAAACATCTTGATAATTGAAGGGACTGGAGGGAAGGGACCGGAAGATAAAATGCAAGCTCGGACGGTTCAATCCGTGTGCGCTGCTCAGGGATCTCAGCGGGCGAGGACAGCGAGGGCTGTGCAGTGGGACACAGCACACGTGCAGCTGCTTTATTTCACTACCTGGAACGGAACAAATCCTATGCTAAAAGAAATAAATGCTGACATTTGCGACAAGAGCCAGTCCTAGCTCTTAATCCCTTTGGAAAAGCGAGCTGGATAAGACTGTTCTGTTGCTGAAAATGAATCCTGGAAGTACTGTGCTTCTGGAAACCTGCGCCCAGCCAGTGGTGAACCGTCAAGAGAAGATGCAAGTCACACAATCAATAAAAAAACCCCAGAAAGCTAAAGCAGAGGTAACACTGATGAGGGACATTTCCCTATCCCTACCCACCCCCTCCCCACCGATGTCAAAAAGAACTCAATTAAGCTCCCGATGTCCTTAGTTTGTAGATTTAGTCTAAAAGAAACACTAGTGCTGTAACTTATTGCAGTTCTGACATTTCAGTGCACAGTAATGAAGGTCAGTGGCTCAACTAAAACCTCAGGTTTGGTAAAATGTCCCTTGGAGCCGGCTGGACATGCTGAGGTCAGAGAGCATCGTGTTCACCTCGGCAGCCACGCAGGGAAAAGGAATGCTGGAGTAGTGACAGTAAGCACGGGAGCGCACAGCTCAGTATTTACTAAGGCCCATTTAAGTGGTCTGGATAATAAATCACATTAAGACCTAGTAAATCTATTAAAAAATGTAAAAAATCTTAAAAAGTTCTGAGCAGTTTTCCAATGAAACTGTTTGGTTTAAGGCTTGGGACTTTCCTGGTGTCCAGATCCTACAACAGATTTGCACTTAGGGTCTGTTGCCACCTCTTCGACACATCGCCTTGTCCTGCACAAGGTTTAGCTAAGCAAGGAAAGCTGTCAGAAACAATCATCGAGGGAATATGCAAAGCAAAAGGATGTCACTGAAAACATGTCTGCTAGGTGTGTTGTCAATTATTAGAAGAGAGACACTGAAAAATCACAGAAATTCTGTAGAAACAACTGCACTGTACCCCTTGGGTTCTTTGTTTTTTTCTAACCACTAAAGGATAATGAGACTTTACAGAAATGAAACAGGAGAAATTGTTTTGTCGTTGCTGTTAAGCATATTAAACAGAAGATTATTTTTCCAACAAAAAACAAGGGACAGAATTATTTTTTGCAATATTGCAGCACAACTGCTTCAGTCAGATGATGGTCCTGTACCATAGGCCCTACGAAAGGAAAAGCATCAGAAGTGTTCCATCTCTTTCGGGTCAGTTGAGAGGTATGCACAAGAGACTTGCAGGAACAGAAATAATGAGTCATCCACAGATACTCATTTCACAATCAACCATCACAACGGATTTTTGTCACACATTAAAGTGCACGTTTGTCAAATATGCAAACACCACCTCCTATTAAAAAAGGTATTTTCGAATTCTGTGGTCGAAAGTACACACAGGACTGCATTTTTAGTGATATTTGGTGACTTCAGCAGTGACAGAGAGCTCTTCCCTTTGCAATCCCTTTGTCTTAAACCAGGACATAAGGATAAATAAGATTTTCACTACAAATATTTTGACCTGTTCTGCACAAAAAAAAGGGAACTGCACCCTTTTCTCTGACAAAGAGAATCTTTAAATACAACTGTACGAAAATATAACTTAAATATAAAATAGTCAAATAGATTTGAGGAGACTTGGAAAAAAATCTTTGTTCCACCTATTAGTTCCATAGGTACCCAGTAGCAAGTAAACATTTGTACTTAAAAAAATAATGTTAAGTTACAGCTTGTAACCATAAACTACTCTGCTCTAGGAATTATGCTGCAAAAGCCAGTTTTAGTAATAAAACACACTCCTTTAACTTAGTCAACTCTGATGCCTTTTTGAGAACTTCTTACACTGTCTCATCAGTAACCAAAAGCGAAAGATTCTGATCTGTTCTCTCTGATCTTCTCTGACACAAAACTCCTCAGCGACTCATCCTTAACACCTCTGCAGTTTTCCACACATGATGAGAAGACATTCTTGCATAATTGGTCAGTGTGTCTGTAGTGCAACTGAGCTGGAAGTCTTCCAACTGCTGGGAGACCTTGCTTTTGAAGTCAGTTTGTATGCAAAGGGAGATGCAATTGCAACATTAAACCCCACTGACGAAGTTTTTTTGCCACGAGACCTGCACACACACAGGCCAGGGTTGTGTCATACAGGCAGACCAAAGCGGTGCTTCTTCTTCTTCACCGGCTTCAGGTTGGTGAGTCTGCGCAGATCCTCCTCGGCGTCCGACTCCTCCATCTCATCATCCGCTGAAATCAGGATCTGAAAACAAACAGCACGTGGATCAGTCACTCTTTCTTCTTTCTACTTTTACTTTTTTTTTTCAGTGCTTGCAAAGTTGGATCAGGGAAGAGCTGACAGACCACAATTAGGATTTACTGCCTGCACTATCAAACACCATCACACATCCTCTGTGGGAGCTCCAGAAATTTCAAAGAAGGATTCATGCATATCAATCTCACTACAGCCACCGAGCCTAAACCCAAAGAAGTGATTCCTGCACCTCCAGAACAGCTGAGGCAGCTTGAGAGAGAATATTTAAGGTCTTTCTCCAAACTGATACCATGGAGTCATTTTATTAAGGAAAACTCCATATAAATAGCACAGTTTATCACACAGAAAAGTTACATTAACTTACTAAAGCTAAAACAACTTACCCTCAAAGAAATTACCCATCCTTTCAGTTGAACTAAAAACTGCTCACTTAGTGTAATTTAGAATATAATTATGCTAAGGCAAGTATGTAAATAGTTCTCCAAAATCAGGTCAGTTGCCTCCACCAGTTCCCTCTCACTTTAAGCTATTAACCTCTCTTGGAATTAGAATTGTCTGTTTGTTTTGTATCCCCTGTGGGTTTTTTTTTAGAAGTATCTGTAACACTGCTCACCTGGGATATTTACATATGTTATTGTGCCTTCCTACCCATCTGGAAGGAAATCAACTGCCAGATTGGTGCAACAAAGACATTTTCCTTAACTGGTTCTCCACAGCAAATGCTGGGAATTACTGCTAGGGGTACATGCACAGAAAATCAAACCTCAGTTGACAGTGTTCCAATGAAATGAAATCAAGGGCAGGAGGGGTGGACTGGACTGATACTGCATTAATTGCAGTAATTAACTCGACATACTTCTGACTCTGACTCTTCATGTGACGCTGCTCTCCTGTATCGGACTTTACTTCCATTTCTTGAATCTTGTCCTGCTTCCTTTTCTTCAAGTTTAGCTTTTGTCTTCCCTTTCTTCATAAGAAAATTATCTACTACCCAGAACATCAATGCCTGTTAAAGAGAAGGGGAAAGGGACAGTTCAGCTTTCTTCAGAGCGGAATAAGTTCATTTGGTCAGTATTTGGAGCTGATAACAATTCTGAATGTTGTTGTGTAGCCACAGTGTCACATGGCTTTTGACACAGCATATGAATGCTCCAGAACCCAGCTGCTTGAGTCCTTTGTGGAAGAGAAGAAAATAAGAAGTGACTTTTCACAGTGATTATATATTAACTCTTCCTGCAGCAAACTTTACCAGCAGTTATTAAATGCAAGGACACCCACTATCCCTGGCTCTAATCCCTAAATCCCAGATTCCTGAAAGAGTATACTTTGGGAAGGATGACTGCACCCTTGCCCTTTTCCTCTGCTCCACCATAGGCCAGCCTGTGTCAGACACAGGATACTTCAGGTTACATCTGTCCTTAGCCCAACTGCTTCCTGCAGCAAATTTCACTGTGATTTTATATCTCTGTGTCAGTATTTCAGTATTTCACCCAACCCACTGAAGTCATCAGGCCAAATAGGTCTATGAGGCATTTCTGCCCCTTCCCTGAGTCTGGTCCCTTAGCTCAGTGTGGATTTCAGCTTTGTAAAACCTACATACCCAGACATTTTATCCATTCCTTAACACCCCTTCTCTTAAGCACCAAGATAACACTGTGTTTTAAGACTAATGTTAATTAATGAAGAACGTGGCAGAAAGATATCCAAGTGAACATTTCCGAGAAGCATTCAAGCTGCACTAACATTAACAAAGAAGGGAACTATCAGCATGACGATGGCCAGCTCCAGCTGGGGGTTCTCGATGGGATTCAATAAAGCCACCTGTGAAAAGAAGAGCATAAGTTCAGATCAGGGCAGCATGTGCACAATCTGGGTTAGGCAGCGCAATGTTCATGTGCCAGCTAATGCGACAGAAATAACACAGATGAACCAAAAAAGGACAGCTTTGAGAAAAGCAAAGTACTTAGGACAGCTTATAAATTACCACAGATAAGTAAGTGGGGCTGACAAGAAACTTATCTCTGTCATTTTTGCTTACAGAAATCTGAGGAGCTGTGTGAGAATCATCTTGAACATTTTAGAGCTGTGAGCTCCCAAGGAACATGTCTTAGGTTCCATCTTTGGGAAATTTAAACAGAGCAGAGTTTTACAAAATGCACTGTAAGAAGACAGTTCCCAGAGTAGTCCAGAGCATACAACAGGGCTAAACTGGTCTTAATGGGCTGTAACAACATCACTTTGAATACTCAGTTGCAGAGTCTATCAGAATAAATATTTATCCAGTCATCAGCAATGGCCTCACTAATCCATTGCAAATTTCTAAAGGCTACAGTTAAATCTATTAAAAAGGTCAGGCAAAGAAAATTCTTTAAAATACTGCAAGAATATGCAAGAGCTTTAAGTAAGAGTTAAAGAATTAAGAGAGCACTTTAGACAAGGAGATGGAATAAATTTTTAGATATCACAGTATATAAAAAACCCCTTCAAAATATGGTAGGATGTTCCTGGCAATGGATGCCAGGAAGCCTCATTAGCAGTATCCCAGTTAAACTGAAAGAACACACCAGTACCACAGATTTAACCAGCAGTGACTGCAGACAGCTCTGATGCCTGAGCCAAACCCATAACCACCACTGGAAGTCTTTACAGCTTCCACCTGAAATTCCTCTGTCTGTAAAATGCTGTAAAAGCACAAACCTCTTTCCACTGAGGTATAAGCAGCACTATGATGATGATGGTTTTCTCAAATGTCATGATCATTATGTACAGAGCACACTGGCCCACCCAAGCACTGCACTGCAGGGGGTCACCTGCAAGGAAGAAGGAAGGTTCAATACATGCATGGATTTGATTTCACTTCACAGTAAAGATCTCAAAAAAACAGTATTAGAAGAGGCAGCAGAGCAGCTAAATCCTCTTAAAGTGTCTTCTCCCACTTCCCTTAGTGCTGCTCCTTCCCCTCCCTCAGCCTCACCCCAAATTTCAAAAGGAAACTGAGTCTCACAGGACTTGATCCAATTCAGCAGTACCTGTAACATGAGCACTGTTTCATATACTCTGATGTAAGCAAGACAGATAAAGTTGCATTACATTTGTTTCCCAGCCCATTGTTAATTCTGACCCTCTATCATGAAGCATTAAGTTGTCTTGAAAGGGAAAACTTAAGAGAAACACAGCTGGGGGAAAACACATTTCCCTTCAGTCTAAGCAGAACTATGATTTGGCCACTCTCCCTGGGCTACCTTAAACATATTTTTCCTCTCTACAAAGTTAATGATCATAAGTAACTGATCACAATTGAAGCAACATGTGCAAGAGCTCCTATGAAAAAACTGAACAAAAAAATTAAGATCACATTTTAAATTCAATGTGGAAGGGTTTGAAATTCTGCTGCACCCCAGTGTGGCAGAGTAAGAACCCGAGTGCAGGAAGTTATGTGCCAGGACAGGATGAAACCCACAAATATTTGACCAGAAAAACTTATGCAGATTCTTAGACCCCATGAAGGAAAGCAGGAAAAAAAAAGAAGAAAAAAAAAAAAGAAGAAGAAAAAAAAAAAAAAAACAATTAAAAAAAAGAACATAAAAAAGAAGAAAAAAGAGGACTTTTAGGCCTAACAAGCTCTGCAGATGAGTTCAAAGCAGCACTTCACTGGAAAACAAAAGGAAGGTCTGGAGGGGTATGACAGCACTTTAGTCTTTGCTGTAGACTCTGAAACATCTTTAAAGACAGCTCAAAACTTTTAGCCTGAGGATGAATAATGGGCAATGGAAAATCAGATGCCTTTATGTGTTTGTAATGCATAATGGACAGTTGCTACTTCCTTTTCTGGAACATTTCTGAAAGGCTTTCAGGATTAATAGTTGGTAATAGGCTGAGACTGTTTGCAGCTTAAATGCTACACAGAGAAACTGGTAAATCAGACTGGAGTCCAAAGCAAAGCAAACTTCCTAACCACGTTTTACAGTGGGAGCTAATCACCAACACTCAGCAGGCCAACAGGAAAACAATTAAAATGCTCAAGTTTTACAACTACATGCTGCATATTATGACAGTCTCTCAACAGCATCCTTGCAGAAAAGCTGGGAAGGTATGGACTGGATGAGTGGAGATACAATTCTGAGCTAAAGGAAAAAAGCTTTCACAGTGAGAGTGGTTAAGCACTGGAGTAGATTGTTCAAAGGGGTTCTCAAATCTCAAACCATGGATAAATTAACAACTGGACTGGACCATGCCCTGAACAACACACTTCAGCTTTCAAGTGAACCCTGCTTTGAGCAAGAGGTTGGATCATATGACCTCTGGAGATCCCTTCCAATCAAATACTATAATTTTATAAAATCTATGACTTTATAAGCCATGCCATTCAAGTTAATAACATCACCACATCCAGAAGGTGCTCCCAAGAATACTTAGGACATCTGTACATTCAGAGGTTCAGTGTACAAACCCAAATTAGAACTTTAATGTTAATGTTGAAGTCAAAGCTCTAGTTTCATTTCTAAAGTCTCTCATGGTTCCTCTTGAATTCTGATTTTATACCTGTCATGTACAAGTTGCATTTATGGAATAATCCAGCAAATTAGTGGAAATCTTGTTACTGCAAGAGAAGCAAATAAAGAATGAAACTGAAACATTTTGAATCCTCTGCAGTGACAACTGTAGGAAAATGCTGGGCAATGCCAAAGTAGTCTATACCAGTGTCTGTTACTGCCATCAGCTGCTTTGCAGACAGCTCTTGAACAGAACACCTGTTATTCCTCTATCCTCTGTCTTCTCTCTGTTCTTCAAATCCTGAAAAATTCTCTCAAGAAAACTCCAACTCCCAGAACAACTCCAAAACAAATTTTCAATGGTT